ATACACTGGATACAAGTTCCATGTTGAAGTCAGGTGGGTATTTTTTAGTCAGAGAGGTGGCTTTTTATTTCTGATGAGTATATTTTTGCTTCTCTTATTTTGAGACATTTGTTCATTTTGAGTGTAAAGAGAAGAATACCCTGAGAAAAAAAATGAGTGTTTTTTACCCAAGCTCTAGATATTCTCGGAGTTTAAAAAAGATAAACAAATTTGTGGCCAGTGTTAATTATGCCTCATTTCAGACTTAATGATGTGCTAGCTGTAATAGAAATTACTTTGGATGCTGATGTTTTTTAAATGTTGGATTATGGCTAAAGTCTGTTTTGTTCAAGTATGTTAACATAACTCTAAGCACTATTCAGACCTTATTTTTGTCACCTTATATTTGTCAAATGAAGTGTGCGAAATTATGTAATTTATATGCTAAATATTGTGCTAATATATATAATATATTACATATTATATATATAATTATTATATATATATAATTATATAGATATAATATATATATAATATAATAAATATGCTAAATATTTGCATTAAAAATTACTGTTATGACCTCATGTGGGCAATGTGGCAACTTCTTTTGGACAATTCAGTAAACAAAACTTTTTAAAATATGAGGGGTGGTGAAAGAGCTTTGTTGAGGACAAAGTGCTTGTCTTCCTCTTTGTCTTAGAAAGGTGACAATCTTGAAATATGATTTAAAAGGGAAAAATGTTCACCAGTAAGATTATACAAGGACTTTCTTATGGTACTAAAAGAATTCTGGAAAGCATGCCAAGATTGAACAGTATTATTTGGGTCCTGACAGACTGCTGAAGGAAGGAAAGATGAGCTTGTTGGTGACAGAATCAAAGATATAATTACTAGTAGGTTTCTTCTTGATTTTCTTCCTGGAAGTTCTAGAAGTGGTGGAGTAGCAGAACAGAGTGGAAAGGCTCTGGTGAAGAGTTTGATGACACTAAAGCTGAGACTGAGCTGGGGGAAAGGTATTGTATATGAAATATTTTAATTGTAAATAACTGGGATGAAGGAATTTGTGGTCTTGGTTCCTCAGGTATTGCATTTCATCAATGCACATCAACAGCATTTTAGAGCAAAACTTAGACTGTGCTGTGGAAACCAGTGAAATCTTGATTAAAAATGTGCTCAGAAAAGGAAAAAAATTATAGGATATTCTTGTTTGGAGATCTCTTTTCCAGATACCCACAGTATACACCCCCACAAGCCTTCTCTTCTCCAGGCTAAGCATCTGTGAAAGATGCTGCAGTCCATCACTGTGGCCTTAAGTATCTTTCTTGTTCTGGGGATGCCCAAACTGGACACAGGACTCCAGATGCAGCCTCCCTAGTGCTGACTGCTTTGCTACAGGATGAAAAAAAGAAGTCTGTGTTGTACAATATTCAGCGTGACCACTTGCATAATTAATTTTATAATGTGGTTCTTTTCAGGCAGAGAATCTGTCTTAACTATTAGTTGGCACTTAGCCCAAAACCCTTTTTTAAAATTTTTTATTCCCCACCCTCCCAGTAATGCTAATGATCTGCTGAGACTCCAAGTCTGAACAGCTTAGCTGTCATAAGGGTGAGCAGGAAATGCACTACTTGCCCTTGTTTCTTGTCTTGATGCCCTTGTCTGTGTTAAAATTCAGAAGCGTTGCTTGCAGTTCTTGAAAAACATTTCATTTGCTTGTTTTTCTTTATGCTGGGGTTTGGTTTTGTTTTTAAGGTTAAACTCAATAAATGTTTTCAGTGTGGAAGTTTTAATTAGACTTTAAAATAGACTGTAAGAAGTGTTAGGATTAAGAGTATTTCTCAAGCAATACCCGATCGTGTCTTGTAAGCCTAGGCTTTCCTGTTACAGTGTTTTAATTTGTTGAGCATAAATTTTCTAGGGAGTGATACTATTCCTTGTAAAGTCTGTGAGATCTTAGATTTTGTATCCAGTTTGAGATTTACCAGAGAAGCATGAAGGCAATCATCTGAACGGCCCCATGTAAGTTATTTTAATTGAGGTCTGAAGTTATTTTAGGCTGAGAAGCTATTTTGTGTGTTTTAAGCTTATTTTAAGTGTAACTTGTTACATTTCCTCTAGAGGACTTGCCATTGTATATTTCCAAAATGCATAATCTGAATCGACCACAGAAAGGACATTTGAGAATTGTTTATAAATATTTATAAACTGCTGTGATACTCCCAGATCAGAGGTGATTTAGTAATGTGATGAAAAATTATTTCCTGGGAAAACACAGAGTCCCTTAGAGGTTAATGTAATATTGGAATGCAGACTGAGAATACCACAGAGAGCTAAACCACATGAAAGTCAAAAGTTAAAGCTGCTTGTGATTTTAAAACATATATACTTGAAACGAAGTCTTTGCCAACCCCAGACAATCAGAGGTGGTGGGGCTGTCCATTTATTCCCAAATTTAAGGGTAAATTTCCCCCTTCTAATACATGGCCACAATCAGCACTGGCAGCTGAATCAAAGGGATAATTTTTTTACTGATGAACCACTTTGCACGTGTGAAAAAGCATGACTGATTTTTACACCATTTCCAAAAGGATTTTGATGAAGACCTGAAGGGAGAACTTTTTATGAAAATGTTGCTGTTGTTGATGCTCAAGATACCAGGAGATCAAAGATGAAATTCCAGTTACCTTCATCTTGCGTCTTGGAAGACTGCAGCCCTAGCATGAAGGTGTCTCTACTGGCTCCAGGAGTTGCTTAAAAATGTTTTATTTCCTTTTACTGTATATCCTGTATTTTCCTCTTAAGTGTATGTGCGTGATTACTTGAAAAAGTCCTGCTTGCTTCCTTCCCCATGGATGTGGCTCTCCTGTAGTGAAGCTGTTCCATGCTTTTAGGAAGGCAGAGGTGCCTCTGCACTCAAGTGTGGGAAGAGCTGAGCAGATATCCCAAAACCTGAAGGGAAGGATGTGTCCCAGGGCACTTCATGCTCTGTCTTTGAGCTGCAACCCAAGTGTTGCCTCAGGAAACACTTCTTCAGCTTTTATTTTTTTTACCAATGCTCAGTGTGCTTTTGGTATATGGACTGTAGGTGAAAGGACAGAGGAAAATCTTAATATTCCAGTGAAAATTTTGAGAAGATTTAGGCATGTGTGGCATTGAAAAAAAAGACATCTTGGCAGTTGTTCCTCACTATGTTTTAGCCAACCTTTAATTTTAACATATATTATTGGTCTTGCAAGTGAGATTGATGAAGACTACATACAGTCCTTTGTTTCTTTGGTACTTTTCTACAAAAATTAGGGTAATTTTTCTTAAAAGTACATTTTCATAGCCTTTATTAAATACTCATTGCCATCTTCCTTAGCAGATTCAGAGTCAAGCCAGAACATTGTTACCTTTTCTTTTTAGCTGTATGGTAAGCATGTATCTTATTGGAGGGATCTTGTCATCTTAATTTCACCTAACCTTGTATACCGTCTGCTTGGTTTTGGTTAAGTGTTGCTTTCTTGAGCAAGGAGTTTAGAATAAATTTCATGAATGGCCTAACCAAAACAGAAAAAATAAGCAGTTCCCTCCTTCTGTGTGTGTGTTTTTCTTGTTTGAAGAACAGTAATCAGATGATTTTAAGAAGGTAAATATTGTACTAAAATAAACCCCACCAAACTAACAAAAAAACCCCCCAAAAACCTAAACAAAACCCAACCAACCTCATCCCACATCATTATCTGAGTAGCAAAAGAAATGTTTAGAAAATAAAGCTGGTTTTTTTTCCCCCCCTCCATGGTTCTACTTGCCAGAGTACTTGGCACACTTAATTGTATGCTGTAGCAGTGTTCCTTAGAGGTGGGGCTTTTTTTGAGCCAGAACCAGCTTGGATGCTTCACATAGCCTCATTCACTTGCCTCTCACCATGGATGAAAAGGCAGTAATAGTTGCCTCTTGTATACAGTGTAGGAACTATAGTGTGTTCATGGTTATTATATACATTGCTGGGAGCACATAACAGAGATGCAAAACCTCTCATGCTTCTGAAACCACAACACAATGTGGAGTTGGGCACCTCTAAGCTCGCCCATATAATTGCATAAATCAAATGGCACAAGTTAATACTGAGAGCTGAATCTACTAGAATTCAATTAAATGAGTAAAAGTCATGAGAAAATAAATTAGAACAAATTTCATTAGTGAAACTTAATGGACCAAGCTCTAGTTCAAAATTTATAGTACCTTCAATTCACATATAATATTAACTACTACTTTTTCTCCTCCAAATATGTGAAATAATGATATAGCGGTGACATCTAAATACAGATAGTGATATCTAAATCTTTCCAATCACTCTGGGAAATGCATTTAAAATTTATAAGCTTCCTTTTTTAAAAGGTGCTTTAAAATAATTCCTGATTTCCTAGTTGGCAGTATAAAACATTTGAGTGTCACAGCAGAGTACGTTCTCTGTTCATACACAGTGGCAGGGATTACACTGCAAACAGTTTTATAAAATCTTAAGAAGTGTCTAAACCTGATTTGGCCTGACTTAGTTAAACATGTTCCTTTTTGAGAGCAACATCTCTTACTAGCTCAAATAATCTATGTTTTTCATTTATATTTAAGTTGGGGGGTGATTGCTTTTGCAGTGGAACCTGCAAAACAATTCTGAAATGAATCCTTCAAGTTACATGAGGGAAGTTTAGATTGGATTTTAGAGGCAATTCCTTCACTGACAGAGTTGTCAAACATTGGAACAGGTTGCCCAGGGAAGTGGTTGAGTTGCCATTCCTGGAGGTACTTAAAAGATGTAGAGATGCAGCACTTAGGGACGTGGTTTAGTGGTGGACTTGGCAGTGCTGGGTTAATGGTTAAACTCAGTGTAAAAGGTGTTTTCCAGCCAAAAAGATTCAGCTGTTTTCTTTTCTGGTGTTTATGGCAGCAACTTGCTTTTTGTGCCTGAGATCTCCACATACTTGTGAAAACTATGAGTGCTTTCAATTTATTTTTCTATTTTATTTTCTGATTTCAGATATTCCTTATAGTTATTCATATCCAGGACCCAGTGTATAATGGGGAGAAAACTGGACCTTTCTGGCTTGACTGATGAAGAAGCAGAGCATGTGCTCCAGGTGGTTCAGCGAGATTTCAGCCTTCGTAAGAAAGAAGAAGAAAGGCTGAGGTAAGGATACAACAGGATTAAAAATATTGGTCTATTTTGATTATAATGAACTGTTTTTTTGGAGAAAAGCAGAGAACATGGCTTTTTTCTGATGTTCTGTGCATTAATAATCATTCCTGTCACAGAGGCAAGAAACATTCAAACTTCTCCACATGAATTCAATTATTGAGTAGTAATTAATTTTTGCATTTAGTCTATCCTAGATTAAACCACAACAATGGTCTCTAAATCACCTGTATATCTCTCCTGGGTAGAAGCTAAGTAGTTTGACATAGCAAAAGCAGAAGTTTATGATAAGAGAATTTTTTGCCTGCTGTAGTCAGTTCCTTTTTTTATTCAGGAATTTTGTCTACATGCAAACATCTGAAAGTGAAGAAGTAGAACCCACCTCTTTCCCCCAAAACAGTCAATGGGATATATTATCCATTGTATTGAGATAACTTTGCTTGCAGTAGGCTGTGTACAAAATGATTGCAAGCAGAAATAATCCACAAGAAAAGATGGAAGTTGTTGGCAGGGTGGCTGAGGAAATTCGGTATGTGACAAGGGGACTATAGATAGAGATCTGAATTGGTCAATACAATATTTTTCTTTCTATTCTCAACAATATTTCCTTGAGTCATTATGCCTGATTTTTTTATTAGCTTCTTTGAACACATCGTTATTTATTATCCAGAATGCTCTGACGTCTCTATCTATGGTTGGCAAATGCACATTCTCTTACTGTGCTACTCGTATCTCAGGCATAACTATGTTTCTTTTTCATTTAGTATCAAACTGAAGTCAACAGAGCAGGAAGATGACTGAAATCAACAGAAAACTAGGCATATATACTATGTGCAATTGAAGCTGAGAGGAATCCTGTCGCACCTGGAACATTAGGAGCAAGAAATGTGTCTTGCAGCATAGGCCTAATTGAGTTTTAGCATGCTGTGCAAGTTCTTGCCTGTGTTGGTACTGCAAGCTTGCTGCAGGGAGAAAAAAAAGTGCATGAGGATGGCATACGAAATTTTTTTGGTTTTTTGACTGTTTTTTGTACCATGGGTTGTTCTGATTACTTTAGTAATTTTTCACAACACAGCCAAGAGATTCTAGAAACAGTTTAAGGAGGATGAGTGTGTGAGCTCTCACTGGCTTTTTATACCGTGACTGGTTGTATCTTACTCTGGAGCAGGCATACCACAGCAAGGATGTGCTGGGGCATCTTGCCTGTTCTATACAATAGATCCATAGTGGGAGGAGGAGGGGGAAGAATGAAAGGCATGAACACAGAAAATTAACCATTTCCATTTCATTCATGGATAGATGAAATTTTTGCTGGTATTTGTTTTGCCACTTTGCTGCTGAAGCTTTTCATGACACCTAATTTTCATGACACTTAATTTCACAAGTAGAAAACTGTTGTAAGAAGACAGCTAAAATACTGGAAAGGTAAGAGAAACACATGGATGCAACTCAGTTTACATATGAACATGTATATTTCAAGTATATATAGCTATATGAATTTAAGTAGTTTTAATGACACTAAAAATTGCTGGTGAACGTCAAAGCTTACTTCTGACTTAAAAGCTATGACCTTTTTTTTTTTAAATATGGCTGCACTGGTTGGTTTTGGTTGCTTGGTTTGCAGCACATCTTTTTGTCTTACTATGTGATTGAAAATATATAAGAAAATTTTATGATCTTGCTATAGATTAGATTTTTTAGCCTGTAAGAAAAGAGAATAGATTTACTTTGATGTTCTTGGCTCAGTTGTGTTTGTATTTAGAATGTTATCAACTGGCAAAGTTTACCATGTAGTTTCACTTTAGAAGTGAAACTCTATATGGCTTTGTAATCTTTTCTAAGATAAAAAAAGCTGGCATATATATATATTATGTTAGACTTTTAGACATTTAACTGATTCAAAACCAAGCTACATCTGAAGGTATGGTTTTACATTTTTTTTTTTATTCCTGTAATTAATTTGAGGTAGCAGCATTAGACTTTAAATTGAAGATTTTGCATATGATACTTTCTTAAAATAGAGTTTCTGTGTAATTCTCCATATCATAGTTTTATTTCTGTGTGCTTTTCCCCACCATGATTTAAGTAACTCTTTCACATATCTCTCTTTGTATTATTCCCATTGGTAACAATTGTTTCTAAAGATCAAGAAATACTTAAGGGAATACATGATAGATTTCCACTGTATCTGGAGAGTAATGAAAGCGAAAAAAACTGTGAGTGGTTGATAACTTCAATTTTGGTTTTCTAGTGACAGCTGAGCAGTTAACTAGCATACTACAAGAAGTGAAGCTTATCTTTACTTCTAATAAATGTTTTTAAGGTAGTAAAGGGACAAATGTTTTAGAGCTAACATTCCAATGTTTTTTATAATATTGCTATTTTTGCTTGTTAATTTATTTTTCCATGTTCTGTAAACAAAATGACATAATGTATGGAGAAGAGCCATACTGGTGATCTGCATTTTGTGCTGCAAAGCTGTTTTAAATTTCTCTGCAGTGAGGATTTTTTGCAGTGGTTCTCTAATTTAAGTCCTTCTCAGAACTTTATCTCCTACTGTTATCAGACAGTTTGTTCTTGTACATTTTGTGAGAAAAAAATTAGCTGGCTACAACCAGTGAGATAACAATAAGATAAACGTGTACATGCTTAGTGAATAGAGTGGTTGGTTTGTTATTCCTTACTGCTTCATATCGGTTTTGTTTCTTTTTTTTGTTGTGGTATTCAACATGATATGATATTAACAATATTTACTCTTCTTTGTCACTTGATCACCCATTATCTTCCTATTTTGATTAGGTGTTTGCTGTGGTCTTTGTCAGTTGTGTTATGTTTTTATTTATCCCAATGTTAGTGTAGTCACCTGGAACCACTGTGGCTAAAATTATAACACAGACTTGCAAATGGATGGGCTGAGTTTACTGTGAATCAGTTGAAGCAGGCAAATGAGGCAGATCTGGTGTAACTGGGAAGGTGATTGGTTTGAGTTTCTTGATGTATATGCTCGGGACAACCTTGTGTACATCCCTTCTCCAGGCTGTCTCTGGCCTCCTGGGACACTAAGAATCATAGATGGTGTTTTGAGGAAGTTGACTGGGCATACTAATGATTTGTTTCCTCATTTACAATTTATTAATCTTGAATTTCAGGCTGCATGCAGCTGCAGAATGTCAGCAGTGGAGAAGACTGCACAGTGTTGAGGGTTAAACATCTAATATTTTGCTGTGCATAGCATCTTTGTCATATCTGCAGTTTGGAAGGGACTGTCCTCTCTTTTTAATAGTTATTTTAAAAAAAAAATTACAGAGGAAGCTAATAAGAGCTTCCAAGCCCAAATGCTTCTTTGTGAGGTAGGCCTTTATACATAAAGAGATATATATATATTAAAGTGTTTGGTGTCTTTTATTTGTTGCCTGTTTCAAGATTGTCTAGATATGCCACTGTTTATTCTCATCCACTGTGGGCAAAATCAAATCCCCCTCTGGTTTTGTTTTTACAGTTACAGTTATATTTTCTGTGAAATTACAATTTCACAGAAAATATTTGATGGATCATCTTATTGTGGTAGATGTTCTTGATCTGTTATGTTTTAGCCACGTGGACAGGTTAAAAAATGGCTGTTCGGATTCTGAATTTAACATTCAGAGTGCAAAAGTTGGAAAATTAGAAGGGCAGAAGTCTTCAGGCATAGAAGGGGCTCAGTGCTGATCAGCTGTAAACAGAGCAGACTGCAAAGCAGGAGCTTTACCTGTCAGCAGCTACTTTACCTTAAGAGGCCTTGGTTGGAGTGTCTTCAGCTGTCTTTCTATTGTCATTGGCAAAGAAGAGTTTTCATCACCACAGTGAATGCTGGACCAGCCCTTTGCATGCTAGTATTTTAATGGTATAACTTGCACTGGGCAAGGATGAAAAATGCTTCTTTGCAGGCAGCATGGCTCTCTTTTGTTTAAACCACTGCTGTTAATCACCTGTATTTACAAAGAAAAACTACTGACCCTCTGGTGCCACATGCATATGTGATCATAACACTTCAACTTAATATACTTATGTAGGGTTTGCTGGAACAGCACAGGGGAAATGTTGAGAGCTGACTGTTGCCCACAGGCAGGAACATCACCATGCCTTGCTTTATATTGTCTTTCATAGCTGGGTTGCTGAATTTCAGCTTTGCTACCTTTATTTATACAGTCACATTTTCAATTGCAGTAAAGACAAATGCAGTGATTTGTGATCAGTTTTCCAGAAGTGTTTTATTTGCAGAAAAAAATGAGATGTCTGTGCTCACAGGAGGGCCCTCTCTATTCTGTTGTTCTAATTACATTTTTATCCAAAGAATGAGCGAGGGATTAGAACAGAATGTAGAAGATTATGAAATGGTTTAAATTGTTTTTGCCTACTTCTTTTTTGCTCCTCTTGCAGCATATTCTATTGTAGCACGAGTAGGCCTGTGAAGAGGCTTCTGAAAAAACAAGTTCTCATACCTGACAAAACTCAGAAACCAGTTTGACACTTTCTTGTCAAACTACAGTAGACTTCAGTGTTGTTTCAGTATATGACATGGGTCTTGTAGTGGATAAAATATTGAATTTCTTCCAAAGCTTGCTAATCAAAATATTGTCATTGTGAGTCATATCAAACTGGCAAAGTGCCAGGACAGACATTTGGATAGCTATCTGTTGATTCTACATATTAGTTCTTGTTTCTCCTTCCTGTGGCAGGCTTGTACTAAATTCTTTAAACCAAACAAAAACCAAGCAATAAAAACCCTTCTGTCTGTCTTTCCTCTTCTCCTCGCTTCCAAGCAAAGCCATTTTATAGCTGCTCTCCTAGTGAGGAAGGAACAGGAGATTAGTCTCATTGTGTCAAGCTTCAGAGTTCTAGCAGACGAACTTGTTGATCAATACCTTATTGCTTGAAGTGGTTTCATAAGGTCAGTCTTCCTGCCCTTCACTCTGATGAAGGGGAAGTCTTCCTTGTGGGAAAACCTGTGTTTT